ATACTCTTACATATATACACACTTATACGTTTACTTATACCACTCCTTCACGTGCACGTGAAAAAAAAAAAAAAAAACAAAGAACTCGATCAAATATTTTATCCAAAAAGCAAATTATAATAGTTAGTTTAAAAAATTAACTGTGGTTTGATATGGAAAATATTAAAACCATCATCTCTCTTTGAAATTTAAACCCCATATATTTGTAACAACCCGTATATACAAGTCAGTCACGTATCAATATCATCAATTGAATTGATCTATCAGAATAATTACAAAATCTTCAAATATACAAAGAAAATTTAATGAAATATCATTTTATATAAGCATTATAAATATAATTATTAATTTAATCGTATAAAAATTTATTCAAGTATAACGTCAAATATAATAATCGTGAAATTCTATAATAATACAAAATATACGTAATACAATCACGAATGTGCAAAGACGATTTTAGAGAGTCGACACTTATGACACGACCCTTCTTCTTCTTCTTCTTCTTCTTCTTCTTCACTATCTCTATCTTTCTCTTTATCTCTTTCTCTTTCTCTTTCTATCTTTCTCTTTCTCTCCGTTACTCTTACTCGTTTGCAAAAGCAAACGTTTTCCATCACCAGACGCTCAGACATAATTTTCTTCGTTAGATGCCTAAAGAGGTAATGTTGGATAGAAAGCGCTCGTTATACAAAGTTAAATATAAACTTAGAACTCAAGTCACGTATTACTAAATGGAAAAGGTGCTTATAACATGTAAAAAAAAAAAAAGAAACAAAAAAATGAGAAACTACAAATGAAAATCACAGTAAGATAAAGAAACCAAATCATCTTCTTCTATTCTTTTTCTATTTTTTCTTTTTTTTTTTTCTAACACTTTACTCGAATGAATTTATTTCTATTTGTGATTTGTCAAATTTCTCATTCCTTTCTGCTTTTGTATTTGTTCTTCTTTTTTTTTTTTTTTTTGGATAAATCAAATTTGATTAGAGCAATAAAAAAAAAGATTGTGATAAAAATGAAAAATAAAAAAGATTAAAAAAAAGAAAAAGGATTCAATTTGTAATGGTTTTAAATCAAATGAAATAATTTCATGTTTTTTTCTTTTCTTCTAATTTTCTTTTTAGTATTCCTCATTTATCCCCTGTTTTATATTTTTTTTTGTTTTTCGTTTCTTATCTTTTCGTAGAAGGATGCAGCAAAGCTTTTCGGGGGTGAGGAGTAGTAGTGGGGGTACAGACGAAACGAATTTACGTGAAAGAGAAAAATGTAGGGCAGTGAAGTGGGGCGAATCACGGAACGGTTTAAGAGAATGTCGGAATATTTGAAGGACCCATTCGAGGAAACAGCAACGAGTGTGTGACGGACGATTCCTTCAACGTAGAAATATCTTTCAAAGCGTTTTACCCCAAGCTTCCTTTCTTTTCTTCTTTCCTTCTTTCCTACCTCAAACGGTCTCTTTCCTTCGCTAAAAGGATTCAACGAAAAATAAGAATAAGAATAAGAAACATTGCAGTACATTTGTTTAATCTGTTTAAATAAACAAAAAATATATATATATATATATAGGAGGAATAAAACAACGAACATTGATAATTAAGTTTGACAATTCTAATATTTCGTTCGTTAAATTTTCATTTAATTTATTATTTACTATTTCGTATCTAACTTTTTTTATTTTTATATATATATATATATGAAATTAAATTTTCATATTTATCTAAATATATTTTGTATATTATATAAATATATAATATTACTAGGGATGCCCCGCCACGCGTTGCTATGGCTCACAATCAGTCCGATACACACGTCTTTAAATCATAATTTGCAATAAAATAATATTGCGATTATAAATTGAGATATAAACTATTCTATCTTTCAAGTTGAATGAAACTGCACACAGTGTGCAAAATTTGATTAAAATCCGTTCAGTAGTTTAGGAGTCCATTGCGGACAAACAAAGTAACACGTAATTTATATATATTAAGATATTATATTTCTCAATTAAATTTATATTATAACTATTATATATTAATATTTATATTAGTATTATTATATTTGTAAATATAATACTCGTATTCATATAATATTCAAAAATAATATTCATATAATATTAAATATATATATATATATATATTATTTATTATTATTTTTATTAGATCATCTCACAAAAGTATCTCACTTTTTCTTACCAAATTTTTCACGTCCATAATATTTCTCATATGTTTGTATTTGTTTGTATTTTTATTTATATTTATATATTTATTTTTTATTAATAAAGCAAAGTGGACGGTACCTAACTCAATAAAATAAAACCAAATAAAATAAATATTGTTCTGGTGCAATTTAATTAATACAAAAAACTAAAAAGACTTTTGAAATGACTCAATACAACAGAAACATTCTTATCAAATTTAAACAAATATAATATATTAATAATATTTTTCTAATTTTTCTCATTATATCATTTATCTATCTATCTATCTATCTATCTCTATTTCTTGTCTATCGACAAAAAAATAACTTGAATAGAAAACCACGTAGTAGCCATCAAGAGTTAATACACGTAACACGTTAAAATGTTTTCGCGGACGTCCGCATCAAAACCATCTATCGAACTTTTACTTAAACTTTGTTCTTGTTTTTTTTTTTTTTAATATTATTATTATTTTTTCCTATCCTCTCTCTCTCTCTCTCTTCCTCATACACATACAGAAACACACATATACATCTATTCTATAGATCTCTTCTATTAATAAGAAAGTCAGTACTCTACATCGTCGAATGGCAAGCTTAACGCACTTTACACGACCAACTTGAATGTAGAGGTGTGAAAGTCGTTGTCAGACTTATCCACCGTTGCAAAAGTGTTTCTCATCCCCCTTTCCTCTTCTTCCTCCTCCTCCTCCTCATCCTCCTCCTCCCCCTTCTCACCATCTCTTTTTCTCACACTCTCTTTATCTTTATCTCTATCTTGACTCTTTCTCACACAGAGATATCCACGGAGAATAAGAAACTGAACGTGTCCAGGTCAGAGAAGCAAAGTTTAAGAGGGATTAGCTATGTCAAAGTTAAGTCACAGAACGAGGATTACGTACACTTCGCGAACGCGTGGATGTAGTTAACCCTTACACCGGCACTGATATACTAATTGAATTAGTTATTTCGAAGCGGAAAGTTAACACGGGCACGTCTACGTGAAGTTTTCAAGCTGAAATAGCTGGCAGAATCGACGTCAGTCGCTCCATCCCCCCCTCCCCCTCCCACTCCCCCTTTTTCTCTTCAGTTCTCTACCCCCTGCCCCCTACCTGTGCACCTGCACCTCTCTCTCTCGTTTTAAAGACTACTACTACAAGCACCTTTCGGAAAACTTCTTCTTATTAACTCGAAAGTTTGATTTGGTATCGTTCCTGAGTGTTATTTAATTACCGATTTCGACGAATACGTGACGTTGATTTAAACAAGAAAATAAAAATATACTCACGAGACTGTTAAAAATAATAAATAAGAACAAAAGAAGAAGAAGAAGAAAAAAGGACCGTAAACAATTCCATTGGCAACGTTTAAATGTAAAAAAAAAAAGGGATGGTGATTGTGAGTGAGAGAGGATAAATGGTTTTGAAATAAACCCTTCGATTGGGTTGGAAATCAGTTGGAATGAAACAAAATTTTTATACTAAATCGTATCGAACGAATTTTTAATTTTATGTAACTTTGAATCGTTTGCGTTTGATTTTTTATTCTATTTTATTTTATTTTATTTATTATACCTTGTTGTGTATTTTTATTTGTTTTTTGTAAATCAGCTTGCAAAAGATTTATTGTTAACTTCTCTCTTTCTCTCTTTTTATCGCGATAACACATGACAGAAAATAAATATATGAAAATATATTGTTAGTAACAAAGAACAATTTTCAACACAATGTCAGTTTCGTTACCCTTTTTGTATTATATTCAGCAACATTTATGTTTGTTTGTTTGTATTTTGTTATTTTTGATTTTATTTTTCGTAATTTTGTAAATCCTATTACAAACCTTCCTCTTCCTCTTYCTCTTCTTCCTCTTGGTTCTCTTCTTTCATCGTCATCTTTCACGATACAGCAAATCGTAGAGAGCTAAACGTACACACGTACGTACGATTACATTGAACACGTGTGTATTACTATCACATCCACAGCTTTTGCATAATCCACACGTATATAATGAAATGGACGAAAATTAGCGATAAACTTATGTCAGGTGTACTTTCATTAAAAATTCGGCGGTACTCGAAACAGAGAGAGAGAGAGAGAGAGAGAAAGATACCACACAACAGTTGATACGACGTGAGTTTTCCAATGCAAGGGGGAGGGGTTAGAGGGTAAAGGGCAAAGGGTGAAAGTGGGTGGTTGGAGGGTAGTATCGCATCGCGTGATGAAAGTGGTGGGGAAGAGGGAGGAAGAGGGCGGATGGGAGTGTAGAAATTAATGGCTCGTCGGACCAACGCTAGGTCATTCCACTTGCCGACTTCGCATATAGGTTTACAGTGATAGTACCTAGTTTTGATGGTTTTCCAACTCTATCTGAGAGAGAGAGGGAAAGAGTATTTCTCGAATTTATGAATACTATGAATAACACGTTAACGTAGTATGTGTTTAACATTACGATAACGTCAACTTTTGTTTTTGACATTTAAGAAGTAGAATGTTAGTTCTCTATCGATCCTATGATAAATATATAAATATATGTACAGGGTAATTACAAATGATTCATCGAATTGTTTCAAGGTTCCTTCTGGGTTTTCTTATTTCTTTTCTATTTTTTTTCTTTTTTTTCTGTACGTCATTTTGTATTTGATTATAATAATATTCTGTAAAATATAATTTTGTTAAACTCGACAAATCATTCGTTTATATTCTGTATTCAAAGGTATTCATTAAATTAGGTATTATACTTCAATAATCAATAACATTTTTATATAAATATATATGTATATATATATATATGTATATTTTGCAGAGTTTATTTATACAAAAATAGAATGACAATATTTTATTCGAATTTTTTGAAGAAAGATCGTATTAGTGATAGGATTTTTGTTAAATAAATAAATAAGTTCGAATATAACAATTAGCAAATCTAACGTGTTGATCGAACTGTATTTGTCACAATGTAATCTTCAGATGGTGTATGTGTGTATAATGTTTTATATACATTGAAATTGGTGTTACAAAGGCTTATCCAACTAGAGAATGAGGTATACACTTTTCATGAAATTACCGGTACACATACGACAAGCAGACACGAATTTATAAACGATGGGAAATTAATGGTAAAAGTGACGCGATGACTATACCTATTTTAACGTTGTAGATTTTGACATTCAATTCGGGGAAAACTGAGATCCCATCTTGTTGATAAGATTCACGAAAAAATGTAATTAAATTTTTTTGTTTTTTTTTTTTATTAAATTACTATCGTGTCACGTTGTGTAAATAAAGGCTTCTTTACTACAATTTTTATACTCTGCTGATCGATCAGTCGTTTCGTAAATATCTGTAAAAAAAAAAAATATATCATCAGATATAGAAAAAAAAAAAAAGAAAGGCCTTTATTTTTTCAATTGAAATGAATTATCTTTTATACAGTTTATGGAATGAATAAAGTTTTTAATTGAAAAAAAAATTTATGAATAAATTTGTGTGTGTATATATATATATATATATATATATATGATTCATACTTTTCAAACATTTATCTCTCGTGCTTGATGAAAAGCTGCTACTAAAGCATTTAATTGTATTGCCTCGTTACATCCAACTGCTACCCTTTTCTCAATTTCAGCCATTTTTATAACCAAATCTATGATTATGTTATCTGGGAACTCAACTTTAACAAAAATAATCTTTATATTAAACTGCAATCTTTCTAGTACTTCCTAGTACTTAATATTAACTTACTCTTATGTACAAATAAATGCAGTTCTGTAAGAATGTCCTGCAATGCGAGTCCTTTCTTTATTTTTAGATCTTGTATTTCTAATCATGCGTTAAGAAAATTATTAAAGCAATAGAAAAAAAAAAAAAAAAAATCCCAATGATAAAAATTATTCAAACATATCGAAAGGATACTACAATAGGATAATTCATAAGTTTCGTTTAACAACCAGTTAAGAATATTTCTTATATCAACTGGTAATGGATGTCCAACGCAAGAATATACATTTTCCTCTGTGACAGATCCAAAAGCTAACCAAGTACTCTGAAGTATATTTAATACTTTTCTCATATCACCATTGCATAATGTCATTAATGCTTGCTTTCCATCTTCCGTTACTTTCAAACTAATAATCATAAATATACTTATAAATTTGTATTCATAATAATAATAATAATAATAATAAATAAATGAATGTAAATATCAAAATGGATAAATTACTTTTCGAGTTCTATAACTTCATTTAATCTTGGTAAGATTTGTTCGGATTGCAATGGTCCAAATCTAAATTTGGTACATCTTGATTGTAAAGCTGGTATAATTTTACCAAGATAATTACATATTATGCAAAAACGTACATTTTCCGTATACTTTTCGATAACTGAAAATATCAAAATATAATATTTCTTTTGATATCTTTTGTTTTCTTATAAATAATTAAATGAAATCAACTTACTTCTTCTAAGTGCATTTTGTGCATCATTGGTCATGGCGTCAGCTTCATCAAGAATAATCAATTTAAATCCAGATCTGTACATAGTACCTGTACTAGCAAAATTTAAAATTTGTCCTCTGACTATACCTATTCCTCTATCATCGGATGCATTCATTTCTAATACCTATGAGTACGTACTACAATATTACAATTATTCCTATACACTGAAGTAATATTGTTAATAAATATTAAATATAAAATAAGTAATACCATTGAATTGAATTGCTCAGGTTTGTAAAGTTTCTTAGCACAAGCTAATATAGTACTAGTTTTTCCTGTTCCTGGTGGTCCATAAAGTAGAAGATGTGGAAGTTGATTTTCATTAATGAATTTGTTAACTAAAAATATAAACGTAAAAGAATTAGTAAAGGATCAATATAAATTATACTATTTATCGATTAAATTAATAAGTATAAAAATTATTTATATATACTTGTTTTCAATATTTCTTCATGAGAAATGAGATCTTCCAATTTTTTAGGACGATATTTTTCAACCCTGAAAATAAAATAATATAAATATTGACAATCACAAGTTTTATGAAAAATGTATGTAATTATAAACTTACCATGGTAAATTAGCTGATTTTTCATTGTCAGGAGCCATAATATTATTCCAATGTTTACTGACAGTAATTAAATTTAAGGTTAGTTACAAGCCCGCGCTTTTTATATTTCATTTACTATGGCGTATTTTAAATATCTTGATTTTTTCAAATGGAGCGTTTCTATTGGTCCAGAGATCCAATCAATCAGAGTTAAGGAAACAAAAATCATATGTTATAAAAATGATATATAAATGTTTGATAAATGCATGTTTTTAGAAAATTGAAAACAAGATCGCATGAAAATCTGTCAAAAGAAGACTTACTTCTGAAAAATATTTGACAAATATTTGTGAAAGATTGTTAAATTATTAATTTTATTACGATAATGACTACGACAAGTGAGATATCAACAAACAATACAGAATTACTACGTGGTCAAACACCAGAATACATGTTACTTCCTAAAATGAAATTCAAATTAAGTTTAAGCGAATTTTGGGGAGAAGAAGAATTGAAAAATTCATTTCTAGATATTATAAAGCGTAACAATATGGCACCGTATTATAAAAAAGTTTGTCAAGATTTTTATTGGGACATGGATACGAATTTATACAACGAAATGCATCAGACTAACGTAGTTACATGGGAAGAATTAGAAGCGGGAAATACGAATTTGAATCTCGACGAGGAAACTAAAGGAAATTGGAGAGAAATGCTTGAATATGCATGTAAAATTGGTGACACCGATCGTGCTACAAATATTGCAACTTCTATTTTCGAAGATATGAGTAATTCTTCCAGTATACGAGCAGAAGTAGCTTTTTGTCTCTTTCGAATAGCTTATTTCAAAAGCAATGTTAATTCAATGGGAAAATCAGTCAAAAGTATAAGCGATTTAATGGAAGGTATATATAGAAAATATAATTCAAATTTCTTGCTTTATCTGTTTATCATGATTATTCTATTAATTGAAATAATTGCATTGATTTTCTTTACAGTATCTTGCAATATGGGTAGTAATTGGTGTTGTCGAAATAAATTAAAAGCATATGAAGCACTCTATTGTTTGGCAATAAGAAATTTCCAACGTGCAGTATCACTTTTATTAGATTGCATTCCTACCTTTGAATCATACGAATTGTTGCCATTTAAGGATATAGTACAATATACTATTTTGGCTGGTATGATTTCATTATCAAGATCAGAACTTGATAAACGATTCAATAATAATGGAATATTGCAACAATCTTTAATTATCGAATGTTCAGCTTACATAGATTATTTAAATAGTTTGTATAATTGCCATTACGGTGATTTCTTTCAACATTTGGCATGGATTGAAATTGAAATGAAATTTGATCCTATTCTTCGTCCACATTATCAATATTATATTCGAGAGATGCGAATAAAGGCATATTCGCAACTTTTGCAGGCATATCGAACGCTCAGTTTAAATCGTATGGCTATTGAATTTGGTGTTACCGAAGATTTTATAGAACAGGAAATGGCACGATTTATTGCCAATGGTAGATTGCATTGTAAAATTGATAAAGTTTCTGCTACTGTGGTTACAGTTAGTTCATCTGGTTGTGACAGAGGACAATCACCCAATGCTTGTTCTGATCAAGGATTAGTTTATCAAAATACGATCAAACGTGGCGATGTATTGCTTAATCGGTTAAAAAAATTAGGACAAGTTATCGAATTTTGATAATACTGTCCTATCTTCATTCTCACGAATTTGTATTCCGCGCCGTTTGATGTTAATCAGAATGGTATGATTTTGTTTATAATTTTTGTCTGTTTAAATTTATGTCGTTACTTGAATTAGATTATAAACATTTTTAGTTTTATTATATAAATATATATTATATATATCTATACATCATATATGTATATCATATTAATAGAAAAGATTCTATAGGTTATGTAGTTTATCTTTAACAACATAACCTATAAAATTTGTTTGTGCTTTTGATGAATGAATGAATGAATGAATAAACGAGCTCAGTAAAAAATTGTTTATAATAATCAGGCATGGCACATAGAATATTTTTAGAACGTTCTGGTATAATTCCAAAAGTAGTAACCAATGTTGCACAAAAATTTAAATACTTACTTGTAATTGATTTTGAAGCTACGTGCGATCAAAAGAAATTATTAGTGCCGCAAGAGATTATTGAATTTCCTTGTATGGTGTTAGACACAGATGATTTGAAAGTGAAAAATGTATTTCATCGATATGTAAAGCCAAGGATTAATCCTAACCTAACATCATTTTGCACTGAATTAACTGGAATATTACAAGATATGGTCGATGATGAAGATCACTTTCCAGTTGTATTTTCTCAATTCTGTACTTGGTTAAAGGATAACAATTATTTTGATCCAATTGACAAGAGTGCTTTTGTAACGTGTGGCAATTGGGATTTAAAAGTGATGTTACCTAATCAATGCGCTACGGACAATTTACAAATACCAGAAGAATTTAAACAATGGATCAACTTGAAAGAAACATTTTGCGTGTCGTGCAAATATTTTCCTCGAAGTTTAACAGATATGATCTCTCATTTGGAGCTTCCATTCAAAGGTAGATTACATTCTGGTATCAGTGATACAACAAACATGATTCAAATAATTCAAGCATTGTGCAAAAAGCATGAAGCACAATTTATAATTACAAACAAGTTGGATGAGAAGAAGATATAAATTTTGTAAAACTACAACATTTCTGTACAGTAAAAATGTATAAAAAGCCTTTATTAACATTAAAATATTGTTATTTTTTTTTGTGTTTTTTTATAAAATACTTGTGTGTATATTTATAATTCTGTACATTAAATGTTTTAATTATAGCTAAGATAAGACACAAATTTAACGTACAACGGCTACTTTTATCTTTACATCTCGTCTGTGATTTTCAGTATATATTTCTAATGTAGCTTCCAAACTACGTTGAACTTTTTGCTTGCATTTTATTCTTAAAGGAAATCCTTTACCAGCTGGTATCATACCTTCTGCTGGAAGTATACTAAGTACATCAGTGTTAGACAAAACAGTTTCATATGGTTGTGCTACTCTGTTAGAACTTAAAATGGTCACAACTGCTTCATTTTTTATTGAAGGAATTAGGCTAACAACATCAGGAGATACCGTAAAATAATCATCGTACATATGTTGTTGTTGTTGTTGTTGTTGTTGACATTCATCATTTATTCCATGGTCTCCTATTATTGTCCTGTAAGATATAGAAATAAGAATTATGATTAATTTAATATTAATATATTAATATCAACAAATATAAAAAAAATACTTACTCCAAAGGTAAAAAGCTTTTTCCACTTGATTCATAAATATGACTGTTATCGCTACAAAGAGAATAATATAACTGTGATTCATCTGCATTATCATGCATCATAGACATTGATTCATCTGCATTGGTCTCCACAGTTAACATTATTTCATGTTGACGCACTCCATGACACAAATCGCTAAGATTGTGCTACACATAACTTGAAATGTTAATATCCAAAATAGCAAAGACAATTAATTATAAAGAAACTATATTGAACACAATATAATAAAACTTACTATTGAATCTTTAATTAAATTTAAATCCGACATCATTTGTTCACCAGGAAATATCTTGCAGAGCGGATAAACTATATTTCTAAATGGTTCACTTTCACCACCATTTAAATCACTTGCACTTTTAATTTTACTATACAACCGACGTATTCGCCAACGTGTCGGTTCATCCCCATAGATAATATTTATAGTGCCCACATGGCATACGTTGGAACGTTGTCGCAATAGTACTAAGTCTTCCTTTTTTGGTTGAAATTGTAATGTAATCCATTGAGTTTCTTTTGGTTCCAATAACAATTCTGTTGGACTTATTTTCCAACTGGAAAGCATTGAAGGATAAATAGCTGAAAAAGAAAATTATATAAAAAATATAAAATAGAATCAAATAAAAATAAAAAAAATATGATAGAGGATATAAATAACCCCATACCTTTAGGCGTTAATTTGACTTTAGCATACGAACAAAGATCACCAATATTCTCTAATTTAATATTAGCATTTAATATTCCGTCAGAATTCAATTTGCCAAGAGGCAACAACATTTTCTCACCAATATCTTTTACTATATTAGATAAAATAACTCGACTGAAACCACCATAACCATATAAAAATATCTATATAGAAATATTTTATATTAAGATTAATTATACAATAATATATTAATTAATAATTAAAGAATTTCTACACGAGTAAAATATTTACTGCTTTCGTAGGACGTGATTTATTATTTTCTTCTTTTTTAATCTCATAATGACTGAAAACAATCCTTCCAGTAGCTGCACCAATATGACGTGGACAAAATGCGACTGAAAGTGTTCTACTTTCCATGCGATGCAATAATAGCACAATATTTGGACTTGTTATTTGATGATCTTTAAGAAACTAAAATATTATATTTATTTATTATTAATTATTTAAACAAATAAATGTTATGTTATCTCTCATTTATACTTACTAGAAAACTATTATTATTATCGAATATCTGAACTTGAAGTTTTATTCTGTTCTCGCTCATATTACGAATGGTGAATTCTTTAATATTACTTTTATTTGGTTTTATAGAACCCCATACCAAAGCAGCGTGTGTTGATTTAATAGGAATTTGATCTCCAGCAACAGTTGAACCAGACACTGAACTAATTGGAGAATTTCTTCCAGATCTAATAATAGAACGATTATCATTTTATTAAGTGTTATAACAAATAATGTAATTATAAAATTTACCTGTTGGATTTTACACTTTGTGGTGAATTCGGAGAGATAGCATTATACAATTGTTGTGGTGTTTCACAGCGTAAATGATTTTCGTGTTCTACTTCTGTTGGTAGATTTTGTTTTCCAATTACAGAATAATAATAAATATTATTACCAATAGTTAACTTAATTTTAACGTGTCTGTAATGATTTTATTATTATATATAGATAACATTATATATATAAGATATTGAAAATAATGTAAGCTTATTAATTTATTAATTTCATAAAAGAATAGCTTATACCTATCACGATTATCATTTTGACGTGGCTTAAATGTTATTAAAAATTTATCTGTTGCATTATGTAATAACATTAAACTTTCAGGTTTAACAGAAAAATCTTCAACATGATTTGAGAACTGTTCATCTTGTATTATAGATGCTGTTATTAGAATAGGCAATTTTCCTAAATTAATAATAGTAACATATTTCATTTTTTTCGTGGGAATTTCTAAAGGTAATTCTGTATCAACGAGTTGTATTTTACATTGGCCTATTTTAACAAACAGTGGTATTTCTTTGATTATTACAGTATCATCTTTTTTGTTATTTGCTTGTATTAATAGTTTTGCTTTTACACTGACCAATTGATTTTGCAATAATTCTGAAAAAAGAAAAGAAAACATTTAATAAAATTTAAATAATATAAATAATATATATATATAATTAAACATATTTAATATTATTATTACCTGAACTTAGCAATGACGAGGTCCCTTCACATTGTACAACTGCAGTAAATTGTTCACAAGGTTTAAGTTCATGTGTCAAATCATCTTGTAAGTTATTAATGCTAAAAATTTTGGGACCATCCTATAATTGTTAAATATATTTTATAATGATGATAATAACAGTTTGATGAATGATTAACAAAAGATAAAGAAAAATCTTACGTGTACAACAGAAAGTGTTATAGGTAGAATCATATTATTTTTATTTTGTAATTTAATGGATAAAGTTTTGATAGTATTCTCAACAATGCTACCAAAGTCAAGTTCTTCATTAGGTGTTAATACATTTACTTGAAGTTCCTCTGATTCAACATAGATCATGTGTTTAATTATTGATTCTTTTCTTGTTACCATATCCGTTATTATTATATGTAATATTACTATCACAGGATTATTAGTCTTCTTTGTTACTTTTATACCAATCTAAATATTAATAAATATAGTCATTTATATTATTCAAATAATTTGTTATGTGTGTTTATTTCTATTTATGTATACCTTAATGGATCGAGTTGAATTTGGTTCTATTAGGATTTTATCTTGAGGTAAATGAAGTATTATATTTTGCTTATCTCCTTGTAATTGAAATGCACTAAATAAGCAAATAATCCATTTATCTCCTGTATTCGTTAATTCGATATCCGCTTCTCTTAACATACCAACAATACAACAACAAATTTGTTGACCATTTTTGATATGAATGATATCTACAAAATAATTTGCACAATATATGTTTTTTTTCTTTTTTTTTTAAATAATTAAATATAATTGTACTTTTTTTTTTTACGAAATATTTCTACCTTGTAATTGAGATGTTTCTAAACTTGAACGTTCATTAGTTAATAATTGTTGAACGCTACAGTCCGCCTTAGATATATGTGAAATATTTTCTAGTTTGAATGCTTCATTTCTTTCCATTCCTGATTTATTCGATTTTATTTTAGATAGAGATAATATGTTATCTTTTAAAGTTGAGTGCATATCCTTTAATTGAGCTTCATCTATAAAATAGAAAAACGATTATTTTAATATGATCACATGATAGATTTTAAATGTAATTGTTTAACTTAATTACAGACCAGTATCTAATTTCTGTTGAAGATTCGTGGAACTTTCTTCTTCCTTTTTAAATGATATTATTTGAGGAACATCTTCCAAAATATCTTTAGTATGTAAATCTAAATTAGATGTAAATGATAACATTCTTGGCAAAATTGGTTTAGTCTCAAATGTTTCGGTAATGGTTTTACTATCTAATGAAAGTTTAGATGACATATTATTGTCTTTAATTTTAAGAGTACTTGGAGTAGCAGGCATAGATCGTCTGTCTGAAGATGAAAGCATATACGTGTTGTTGTTGTTGTTGCCTTGGTCATTATTTCTTTCTAACTCTTTCCTTTTCTTTTTGGCCATTATAAGTTGATCTACTAATCGTCGTGGAGTACAACTGTCAAGGTCTTCTAATGCTTTAGCAATACTACTTAAACTCATAATACTGTGATCTTCGATACTTTGTGTCACATTTGTAGGAATTTGGTCCTTTTCTTTAAACGTCGTGGATGATCCTATAAAAATACACAAATTACAAATGTAATTTAAAAACAAAAAATAGAAATATATCATTTGTATCAAATATTAAAGTTACCATCTACAATGGTTGAATCGATTAAAGGTATTAATTGTCTTTTCTTTGGAGGACTTTTAACAGGTATTCCTAAAAGTGGTTTTTCCTTATTACTGTTTGACAAGTTTCCAGTATTTTCACTTTTTCTTTTGAAAAATTCACCGATAGATACTTTACGTCCACTACTAGATCTGAACAAATATGAATAAATTAAATAAATAATTAATTTGTTGTAATATTCTTAAATAAATAACTTACTCCACGGATACATCCAATTCTCCAATAATACCAGAAAAACTTGACAAATTTAAATGATTTTTTGCCAAATTAGTTGCCAAAGGAGCACTGTAAGTACAGTTCTGTTTCCAAGAAGGTTCATCAGTTAATAATTGACTGTTTATTTGAGAGATAGAATAAAACTGTTCATCTTTAAATTGAGCTGCCTGTTGCTCCGCTAAAATTGTATCAAAACTAATTCCTCCTCCTATACTCTTTGGCGACAAAAAATATTCAGATTTATCATTTTTAATCATCTCTGATGAACGAGCCGTTATTTCATCCAACTTAAATACAATCTGCAAATAAAATCAACATATTTACATTTAATATACTCTTTCCATTTCTTTTTTTTTTTTTTTTTTTTTTTTTTAATGAAAAATATTTCCATTACTTACACTATCACTATTCGAATATTTTGAATGTAAAGTATCCTGTTGTTTTAACTTATTATCAATATTATACTTAAAAGAATTAACATCCATTTGATCTGAAGAATTAACGTAATCTCTTATAGTTTCAATATTAACATCATCCTCTTTATTTATAGAATCTAACAAATAATATCATTTATGAAAAACTGACAAATGCAATCTGTACACGTATTATTAATACTAATTTTGTGTAATTACCAGAAGAAGATATTGAACTTTTAATATTGCTACATTTTCTAAGTAACAACCTAGCGCGTTCTTGCTCAGCATCTAATTTATTGGATTCTTCTTTCACTTGATCGTTTATTTCACTTGTTTCTTCTAATACTAACAGATGAAAATAACAATATTATATTTAACTATATCACTAAGGTTCATACTGTCAATACTTACAATTTGATATATTGTTAAGAATACCTAATGAAGAATCATCTGACTTTAATAACATATTAGTCCCAGTTAAAGACGGTCTAACAAAATTCTCATCCATGTATGTCACGTCAAGATATTTCTCTTTAAGTCTACAAATACAATGTGTGTGTGTGTGTGCATGAAATTAATTAACTTTTTCATATGTTGATCTTATTAAATTATTATTTTGAAATTTATATGTCAATATGTAAATAAGATAAATTAATAGAAAACAAAAAAAAGACATACGTAGACTTTCTCTGTACTGTTGACGAAGCCTTTGGCAAAGGAGTGCACAATAATGTTTTATCCAATTCAGCATTAGAAGATTTTGGCGGGGTTGACATTATGAGATTATAAATTATTGTTATTAATTATTAGAATAATCTTTAATATCTTTTTATTTTTCTATATCTGAATAAGATTAAATTAAATGTTATTTTTGATGGATAATGTTATAAATAAATGAAAACAACGAACTACATCATTCGAAAGAAATTCTCTGACAGTCTATTGATTCGTTCAATGTTAACGTTCAAATTTGAAAATCTTCAAGAATTGTCATGAACATAGTGAAATAGATTGCGCTTATAAGATGGTTCAAGTCGTTGCTAAAAACTTTTCATTATTATGTTCGTGATCAAAGTTACGTACGATTAAATTTCACTTTTTTATTGATAGGTGACTATAGTATCGTGCCGATTTCAGTGCCCTCTGAGCATATGGGAAACTAATATTTTAATAATTAAATTATACATTTATAGAACAGTTTTTAATATTTATTATATGCATAACTCTTTATAATTTTATAAAATTAATTAGAATTATTATAATTTATTTGCTCGTAACAATATTAAATGTAAAATAACTTTTCCAACGAGAGATACATTTGAAAATTCAAAAAATTGGCGGCAATTCGTTGTATGTAAGATGCGCAGTAGATTTCTGCGCATGATTCCACGTAGTGACAAGCAGTGAAATAACATAACCTAAGGTTTGATCTGTAAATATTTAACTATTATAAATTTTCATTTGTTTATGGATTAAATCGTAAAGATAATTAAATAATAATAAAAAATAAATGCAAAATGGTGTCTGTTTTAAATACCGTTGATACGAATCATGAAGATATGATTCATGATGCTGAAATGGACTATTATGGTTTGAGGTTAGCTACCTGCTCAAGTGATAATTCTGTAAAGATTTTTGACTTAAAAAATGGATCGCAGAGTTTAATTGCAGATCTTAAAGGACACGTAGGTCCTGTTTGGCAAGTCGCTTGGGCACATCCCAAATTTGGAAATATTTTAGCTTCTTGTAGCTATGATAGGTTGGTTCTTATTTATTATTTTTTTTTATTTACTAATTATTGTTTGTCACATATGCGAACAGTTTAAATGCAAGCACATAATAAATTAATAAATTTTTATTTCACATATAGAAAAGTTATTATTTGGAAAGAACTCGGTGAATGGACTAAAATCTATGAACACACAGGACATGATTCTTCAGTCAATTCGGTTGCTTGGGCACCACACGAATTTGGTTTGATTTTAGCCTGTGGTAGTTCAGATGGTTCTATTTCTATACTCACTAACAATGCTGATACTTGGGATACACAAAAAATAACAAATGCACATACTATTGGATGTAATGCAGTTAGTTGGTGTCCTGCGATAGATACCAGTTTTGATTCTAATAACATTCAGCAAAAGTCTGGTCCTATTAAAAGATTAGCTACTGGAGGTTGTGATAATTTAGTTAAAATATGGAAAGAAGAAGGTGACCGGTGGGTGGAAGAAAACAAATTAGAAGCTCACAGTGATTGGGTAATTTAATTTTGTATCAATTGATATATTCTTCAATTGAGAACGTTTTGTTTTAATTTGATTTTACCTACTAGGTACGTGATGTTGAATGGGCACCAGCAGTTGGACCTTCCAGAGGTACCTTAGCTTCTTGTTCTCAAGATCGTAGGGTTGTTATATGGACATCGAATGATTACTTAAATTGGACATCTAAAGTTCTGAATATTTTTGATGATGTCATTTGGAATATTAGTTGGTCTTTAACAGGTGGTATTTTAGCAGTTAGTGGTGGAGATAATAAAGTTTCACTTTGGCGTGAAAATTCGGAAGGCCAATGGGCATGCATTTCCGAATTGAATAAAGGTCAAGGCAATCTCAATAATACAGATCAACGTGCTTTGTAATTTAACTAATAAAGTATATGCTATTTTATACATACAAAATATACGTGTATTAATAGAAATATATTGTTGGTAAAAGCTGTTTGATATATATAGCATATACGTCCTTATCAAAATTGAAGAATATATATATATATACATAAAATTTTCAAATTTACAGTAAAGTATTGTATAATTTCATTTAATTTTGAATGATTTTATTATTCCATTGTAAATTTGTAGCTTTAAAAAGTATACAAATTTTTATACACTTTGTTCATCAAATGTACATATTACAAGGAAACAAACAAAACAAAAAAGAAATTAGATTAATTGACAATATTTATTACACAATATTTAATATATTATTTGAAACATTTGAATATTTCTTAAATTATCTGCTTATAAAAATATCATCAAATTTTCATCATCTTCAATCATTGTTTTTCTTAAATTTTATAATAATCAATTTTGTAATCTTTGTATTTTATAAACATCCTGATTTCTTCTTCATTTCCAACAAGAGAAAATATTAAATTTACAATAATTTCATAATAATTATTCTTGAATGTATAGGGATGCAGCAAAAACTATATCACGTTTTATTGCTGTCGATGCTTCTTCCATTTTTCCTTTTAAAACTGGATCACCAATTGCCACAGCTGCATTTTTCATATCTTGCAATGTTTCATTAAGTTGTTGAATGACTCTGACTATAATACCTTCTTGTACATCAACTTTTTGCATTATTTCAGCAAATGATTTTGCTTGTGCCCATTCATAAACAGCTTCCATCAAAGAAAAATTCAATGGTTGCAGTGTATTTAATTGATACTCTTGTTCTAATTTATGTAAATCTTGATGCAAATTATACAAAACTACAGATTCCTAAAAAGAATAAATAATTAATTGATAACAATCTAATCGTTATGTCTTTATAACTGTATAGAATTATACAGTTATATTTTCATAATAATAAACAGAAGATAATCAATGAAATCTTACTTTTGTTAAATGATTAAAACTAGGTGGTAGGGAAAATTCTTCACCCTTTTGTTGATATATCACAGCAGATAATAACGCAGCAATTTCAGCTGGTTGTAAAGGTGTTAATACATTTTTTAAAATAAGTTCTGTTAATATTAATTCATTAACTCCCATTTGTAATGCCACTCTACCTTTTAAAGCAACTGCAAATATAAATTATTAAAATATATCTTATCTTAATATATATAAATTACGCGTCACGTTGTTTATCCGCAATGGACTCCTAAACTACTGAACCGATTTTAATCAAATTTTGCACACTGTGTGCAGTTTTATCCAACTTGAAAGATAGAATAGTTTATATCTCAATTTATAATCGCAATATTATTTTATTGCGAATTATGACTTAAAGACGTGTGTATCGGACTGATTGTGAGTTACAGCAACGCGTGGCGGGTATATATATATATATATATACAATATAAAAAGATTACTGACCTCTTTCATCGTTATCTATATATCCAAGACGTTTAAGTATTGTAACCATATTTATATAATCTGGATATAAAGATAATCCTTCATCGCTGAGCTTTAATTGAAGTTTCTTTTGTTTTCTGCATAATTCCATACGATGAAATACAACTTCAAATTGTTCCTCGAAATTTGGTATATCTGTACACTTGATTTTTTCTAAAGCTTGCATTTGTTTGCGTAAATGTATAAATCTAGGATTTAAATTTTCAGGTACTTTCCATTTTATGTATGGTGACAATATGTCATTATTTTTTTTAGAATATACAGATATTGCCATTAATTCTTGAACGACTGCTTGACACGTAGGTCCAGGTTTATCATTCCTATACACAATTTAAGATTTGTAAATCGTAAATCAATTTTTAAATCGATTTATTTATTATTTGTAAAATGTGTCTTTTGTTTCTTCGGATGGGTCATCCAATCCATGTTTTGCTAACCGTGCCCACGTTGTTTAACTTTAGTGATCTGACGAAAACTAGTAATCCAACGTGGCTAGACCGTTGACTGATTTATTCATTTATTTATTATTATTATTATTGTTAGACTTACCTAAATCTAAATATTTGTCTCTTTTCCCAATCTTTCAATACCATATTGCAATCGATCTTAAGGAGATGATTTGTTATTTCGATTAAATTCCACGGAGGAATAACGATTACTTCATGAGATGGTGCTCCACATGGTACAAATAAATTCTTTTTGGTTAAAGCAATAATATTATACCAATTTTCAGAATTTTCTTTATTAATTTCATTATCTGAATTGTCCGAATGTTTGTCAGTTGTAGGTTCTTGCTGATTTCCATCTTTTAATACGAATACTTGATATTGATTTCCAAAGACTTTAGATGAAATGATTCCAAGTAATATACCTAATTTTCTAAAATGATTTTTATACGATATTATTACAACTCTACCCTTGGATAAACTTTTCTTAGCTTTTTTATTTTCAAGCATAAATGGCTTCAAATAACGTAATTCTTGTAAATAATTCATAGCTATTTCATAGAAATTAGACAATTCCTTTTGTACATCGGTTAATGGTGGTAAACTTGCTAATTCTTCTTCTACTTTATTTAAATCAGTTTGATATTTATCTTCTTTTAATACTAAACATGATTCCTTAAATGATCTTCTCATCATAGATTGTACAGTAACTAATTCATTAGTTCTTCTCAAATTTAAAACCATTGAATATGTTACTTTAAATTGTGATTCCAATGTTTTCGATTCACCTTTCATCAAAGGTCTTAATTCAAGAAAATGTGGAATTTCTTTGTGACACATTATAATAACTGTACCAGTTGTGTCGTGGCCTCGACGACCAGCCCTACCTGCCATTTGAATATATTCGGTAGGAAGTAACATTCGAAATACATTGCCATCATATTTTTTGATTGAATCAAATACTACTGTTCGGGCTGGCATATTTACTCCCATAGCAAATGTTTCAGTTGCAAATAATAACTATAAGAACAAAAATGTATCTTTTATTACATTATATCTTTCAGAATATTCTATCTATATAATGTAATAATAAATTACCTTAACAACACCCATTTGGAAAAGAATTTCAACAGTTTCCTTTAAAATGGGTAATATACCACTGTGATGTATACCAATGCCTCTTTCTAAAAGATCTTGCATCATACAAACTTGTGGTAAATGTTTGTCAGTACCTTTCAAATATTTCATAGTATGCTCGAAGAATGATCTAACTTGCATTTTTTCAACATGATTAGTTAACGTAATATTTTTTAATTTATTCGCATTAGTATCGCAACGTTTTCTGGACAATGTGAATACAACGACAGGTAATTTATCCTAAAAAAAAAAAACAAACAAACAAACAAAATGCATGGTATTATCCTTTAGATCAAATTTCTTAAAATAACAAAATTAATATTATTTGTATTATTTTGTGTGTGTGGATATATCGTACATTTCTGCTTAAAAAATGTACAAAATCGTATAATATTTCGTCGTAATATTTCATATCATCGAAATAATTGTTTCCATCTTTTTTGTCATGTTTTTGTAATTTTTTACTCGCTATATGCCATCTGTAAAGAAATATATATTTCTATATTAAACTTATGTTTAATTAAAATTTTATATATATACACACAAAATTGTGGTAATAATGAATGTGAATATATATATATATATATATATATATATATATGATAATATAAATGAAATAAAAAATTATTATGATTACCCATTTAATAAAAATTCTTCATTTTCGTCTAGAATTGTAAATAATTCGCCACGATTTTTAGTATTATTAGGAACATACAAATAATGCTTCAACGGTACTGGTCTTTTCAATGTGCTGATTACATACATTTTCCTTTTTTTAATACGACCAACCCAATTTGCAAATATTATTGGTTTTGGCACAGTCGCTGACAACATAACTATATTCACTGTTTGTGGTAAAAGAATTACAATTTCTTCCCACACATGACCACGCTGTATATTTATAAAATATCATAATTATAAAACTTGAAATAATATTAAATAATAGATGGTAGATAATGAAAAAAAATAAATAAATAAATAAATGATTTTCTTCTAATAAAAGAATCATTTGTAAATAAATATTATATATGTAAATGAAAAAAAAAAAACAACAAATCAGTAATTCGTTGATCTTTGTAATAGTTTCAATATAATACTTACATCTTCATTATTAATGTAATGTACTTCATCAAATATTACAAATTCCAAATCTCTAAGAACTTCTGATGCACCGTATATCATTGATTTTAATATTTCTGTGGTCATAATAAGACAAGATGCGGTCTCATTGATTTGAACATCTCCTGTTATTAATCCAACGCTGTCAAATTTCTTTTTAAAATCACGGAATTTCTGATTTGATAATACTTTGATAGGAGAAGTATAAATTACCCTTGAGAATAATAAAATGACAATTTTTAAATAAATATGTTTAGTTATTTAAAAAAAAAAAAAAAAAAAACAGAAATTAGATTAAATTAGATAAGTAATATTTACTTTGTTAGATGTTTTTGAGTTAATGCAATAGCATACTCAGCAACGGTAGTTTTTCCTGCAGATGTGTGTGCAGCAACAAAAACATTACAATTTTCTTCTAACTTAAGTATTGCCTGCTTTTGAAAAGTATCTAATTCGTATTCATATGTCATTGCTGGATCTGGTATTTTTGTTTTGAAATCTGTTACTGGTACAGATACATCAATTTGTTCTGCCCATTCCATTTCATCAATTTTATTTGACTGTGATTCATTAGAAATTTTTAATACTGCTACTTCTTGCTTTTCTGATGATGGTAATGGATTATCATCCATTTTAGATATTTCTACAGTTTTCTCTACATCATTTTTCTTTTTTATTTCTTCTTTAGATTCTTCTACATTTGGCCAATTAAGATTACATTCTTCTTCCTCTTCGAGAGCCATTAAATTTATTTTCTTTGTTGTATCATCTATAACTTGTTTGTCTGTTTTTGATGCATTAACAGATTTATCTTTTTTCTTTGGTGTATTATTATCAGCTTCAAATTCTATACCAGAACTGAATCCTTCTGGTAGTGTTCTTAAATTTCTTTCAAAATCAACATCTTCTGTCGTCTCTTCCAATACAACAGGCTCATCAAAACCACCAGGCCAAAATGGTATATTAGTAATTTTACCTAAAATCGATTATATGAAATTTCATCAAACATTAATTATATTTATATCAATTTATTATTAAATACCTCTAATGTCATCTGTAACTGCTCCAGGTATACGTTTCATTGACATTGAATTTTTCGAATTTTTTCCTACTTCTTCTAACATAATTTCTTGCATTTGTGCTAGACATCCTGTTATTGGATCACGATCAAATTTTAATGTTGTACCATGTGGTGATAATTCATAAGTTAATAAAGAAACAACATCAGGTTTTCTTGGCCAATAACATTGAGCCAAATCAATTTGATGTATCGGAAGTTGTTCAGGACATTCCACATAATTCTTTAATGTGGTAATTATGTTAGGCCAAATTGGTGGAAAATCTAAGTTTTGCTACAAAGTGTACATAGAATAGAATAGATATTACACAAATATATAAAACATTAAAGAAAAATGATACAATATTTATTGTATAAACATCGTAAAATATTTGTAAAAACTTACGTCCATTTTGAAATATTTTTTTTTTTATATTTCCTATCACTTTAATAAACGCTATTAATATTTACAAAACACAGGTTGTTACTGATAAAATTTAAACAAGTATTGTACATGACCTAAAACACCAAAAATAGAAATACAATAGATGTCATGGTCAAATATAAATAGTAAAATAAAATATATTCATTTATATAATTTATTAATTGCAATGTTTTGTAAGAAAATCAATTTAATATCAATATGTTTCAGTAAGGTTTAAATGTTATATATGTTAACCTTTTATTTATTTTCAAAGATTTACTAAATAATTTACAGAACATTTTTATACACTACAAACAATTAATTCTTTATAAATTTTTATACTCGTTTCATTTGTGGTAAAAATGATAAAATAAAAACAATTAAATTACACCATAAAATAAATTAGAAATGAAACACGATTAACAATCTTTAATATGATGCACTTAATTCTTCTATGAGAAAATTGACAGTTCATAAACATATAATACTTATATCATTATTATTATTATTATTATTATTATTATTATTATTATTGTTATTTATATTATCACCTTGTATTATTTCTATTCCAAAGTTATTGCTAATTATTTACAGTTTCCGATAATGTATATTTTTAGCACAATCAATTAAAAAAAATTATAAATATTATATGTATAAGATGTATATAACCAAAAAAACAAACAGATTTTCTATTCTTATTTTAAGAAATGTTTAGTTTTCATAATAGAATAATCCTGAAGCAAATAGAAAATAGATACTAGCGAGAGAATAAAAGTAGCGTCATTTAACGAGTGTTGGTAAACATGATTCCATTTGAAAATATACGTGGCGCCACAGTACTAAACTCCGATTCGTCACAGAGGGAGGCACAAGCGAAAGTAGGAAATACAACTGCGCCCCCTCTGTTCCGAAGGACATTCCAGTGCTGTCAGATCGTGGGTAAATCTTACCCTCTCCCTGTGCCACTGGGATTGCACACAATGAAAGTTTTCCATGTCCGTGTGTTTGGGATGTCGAAAGAAGTCGAGTGTAACCGAAGTTGGCGGGCACGCCGGAGTGGCACACTATGAAAGCGACTCGTGTCGTCCGAACACATGGACACGAGTCGCTTTTATAATGTGCCACTTCGTGGCCAACCGCCAACTTCGGTTACACTCGGCTTTCCTCGAAATCCCAAACACACGGACATGGATAACTTTCATTGTGTGCAATCCCAGTGGCACAGGGAGAGGGTAAGATTTACCCACGATCTGACAGCACTGCTGGGACATTCATCATTTCCTGTTATTAGTTGGAAGATTTGAAAAGATAGTTTGTGAATGCAATAGCTGGTTTGTTTTACATCATAGTAGTGTATTATACGCGTACTTTATATTTCTTGTACTAATCGATCAACAGTTTGGTAAATTATATAAACTAAACTAAAGTTAGTAAAAAAGTATATAATTATATGTGAAGTGATAACAACGTATCTAAGAAACGGATTAAAGTACACCATTGTAAATATTTCTGATATAATAATAATTTTATTTCATTTTAATAAATACAGTCTAATTTCTCTGTGTAATAATATGCTTGTGCATTTACACGTTAATACTCAATAGTAGATTTAAAACAGAAATGTGAGAAAAAAAATGTGTTCTTTTTATTCTCTTTATAGCAAAAATGCACAAAGCATTGTTCATTCATTAGTGATACCGTTGCGACACCTGTTGGATTTGCCGTTAATTAAAAAGCTAACTTAAAAATGGCGCTAGAAAATATTCAACTCAAGTAATATTTCTTTATGAAAACATTTATTATTATTATTATTTATTATTTATTATAACAGAAAATTAACAACTTTCACTATAATACAACCATTTTACAATTGGCGACATTAAAAAGAATTATTATTACCTGAGATTTATGATACAAACAATTCGGAGATTATTGATTAATCGAATATCAACATTTTCTCTTTCGACTTTATCAATCTACGATAAAATATTATTATCAATTTAATTTGCCATTTATTATTTCATTTTGTTTTGCTACTATTATTATTTTTTCTTTTTATAATAATTTTAAATCAAATAATTTAATAAATAAATAAAGATTAGAATATTATAAAATACACGTGTGTATATATACATATATATATATATATCACAGATATTTCATCATCATCATCATTATCATTATGCAAGGAAAGGAATAATATTTTAGAAATATTTCACTTTCATAACAAAATGCAATAATTTTTTTTTTTTAAAGATTCAAATAAAATCATGAAAAATCATTCTGTTTGAAAAATCAAACAGAACAATTTTTTCGTTTCTTATAATTACCTATCAATAAATAATATTTTACATTTACAAAATTCTGAATCAACAAATACTTTAGTAAAAATAATCGAACATGCCTATATATAATAGAACTTAAAATTTATTCAAAATTTAAGCATAAAGTATCTTAATATTATGTATGGAGATATTAATATCATTTATACATTATACATTTGAACCATAACTAATAATATTATCATTTTCTTTTTTGTTGTAGTTGTTACAACTATACAAATGCAGAAATATTTTTTCTTGTTTTTTCTTTCTTTTTTTTTTTTTTTTTTAATTCTTGGCATATATTATCACAATCTTTGCATTATAAAATACTTTTTCTTTTTTCGTAACGTATTATTCTCAGGATAATAATTATGTATATATACAATATTTATTTGGATTATATACATTTGTATGGAATAGTGTGTAATATATGAGAGCAATTGATGAAGAAGAAGAAGAAGAAGAAGAAGAAGAAGAAGAAAAAAAACGAAGTACACTAAATGATAAAAAATATAATCGAATTTTCGAGAATGTTCCATCATAAAATATGAATGGTAAAAATAAAGAAAGAATAATATAAAATAATAAACTGTAAAGTGATGAAATAGAATAATAAAGTTCTAATAATAACAACATAAATCCGATGCAAAAACAGATAGCAAAACTGNCATTTTTTTTTTTTTTTTTTTATAATGATAATTACTTATGTATTTTTACATATTATAATACACATATATATTGTATACATGAGGCAGTCTTAAAGAATAAAAGGAAGGTAATTTATAGATTCAAAATGTAAGTTAGATAAAAGTCTAAAATTTATAATGATCAGCATTAGAAGAAAGATAACTTGTCAGTCAATATAGATGATGTACAGAATTATTATTATTATTATTATTATTATTATTACTATTATTAATATTATTATTATTATTATTATTATTATTGTTATTATTATGTAGACTGTCTCAGCAACAAAGAAAATTTAAATCGGTAGGCCTTTCATTTTATTCAAAAGAACACATTTTTTTCTAAGAAGCCTTGAAGACAATGTTTTAAAATGACAAAGATCATGATGACAGCAATTTTTCTTAGGCTCAAAAATACAATCGACGCTACTTCTTTTACTACTACAATATTTACTTTTACAGCACGTAACTCGTTCTGGAGAAGAATCTGGATTCTTAATTGAACCACATACACTATGATTTCCAATACTTGTACTATCACTATCGCTTTCACTGTCTATGCTAGATAGAGAGCTATCATCATTCCTTTGTGCCCTTAATGCTTCATTATCTTTTTTTAATTCTTCATTTTGTTTGATTAATTCATTGATGCGCTGTTGAAATAGATCTAATTGTTTCGTTACATCCATTTCTGTAACATTTGCTTCAGTAACACATTTATTATCCTTATTATCTTTGTCTTCCGTCTGATTATTGATATTTTTAACGCGTAATCTTTTAGAGAGTAAGTCTACTTTGGCCTCTAATTGTAAATATTCTGCTAATAATTCTGCTTTGCTCAATGTGCTCAGTCTTTCCGCGTGAAGGTCTTCGTAAGCGCTACAGAAATTTTTCGATAAAAATTCTTCCTCGTCCTCTGGCGATGAAAAAAAGTAATCTTCGTCAGAATCAACGCTAAAACTGGAATCCCTAGTACGAATTGTTGGTGCTTGAGGTTTCTGAAAAGTAGTACTAGTAGTAGTAGTAGTTGTTGTAGTAGTAGTAGTAGTAGTAGTAGCAGTAGTTATTCCTAAGTCTGTAGATGTTGCTATGTTTAATTTTTGATCAATATCAGGTAAATCGCTGTGATCATTCATTAGAAATTGTGTTGTATTGTATGGCGCACGAATTTGTCTACAAAATTGTAAAACTTTTCCAAATGATTTGCAACATGGTGGTGGTTTTGATTTGAAATAGGATAATTTTTGATAATGCGATTTTAATCTTCTATACTTGGATTTTCCTCTACGAGTCTTCTTTTTCTTCGTTATTATATCTAATCCATCCTCTTGTAATCCAACATCTTGTTCTGCGCTACCGCCACTGCCACTTTCAAATTTACAAGATTTTTCAAGCAAAGATTTAGGCCACTGAAATTAAGCAGATTAATCTTTCTAAACACATTCTAAATATACGTATAACATATTTTATATTAATTTATTTTCTACTTTATCTACAAAATGTTATATATTTCGTAGATGACATTTTTATTCATAGTTATATATCAAATTATAATATTAGCTAGAGCGGATAGTAATGTCGTTTTTACAAATATCAAATTTGGTATATTTTTATCAATTTGATATTAAAAATTTTGCATATTAGATGGAAAAAGATTGTTAATTATTTGATTGATTAAAAAATATACAATTTGTTAGAAATTTATTTGTTTCAATTTAAGATTAGAAAGCGACATTATTTTTCGGTCCATCTAATAATTATAAAAAAAAAATGTATCTTTATTTAATTATATAGAAATTTAGTTCAATTTCTTACCGTAATTTTATATAAATAATTATATTATTTAATCAACAAACAAACAAAACAAAATAAAATAACAAATTATAATATAATATCATTGTAATTCAAAATTTGAATAATCGATCTTTTAAAACATTTCGATAATATTAATCGATATATATTTTTCGAAATATTCAAACTCTAATGAAAATAATGATAATTTCAAAATAAAAAAAATGAAATTTATAAGAAGAATATTAAATATAATATATATCTAATAAATATCATTATTTTTATTACAAAAGAAGATATTAAAAAAAAAAAAATTTTAAAAAAGAAAAGTCATTTGGTTATTGTAACAGTCAATACTAACATCTTTAACGTTGTAACATGGCTGACTAGCGACATTTTCGCCGCTAGATCGCGACACTTGCTTGGGAGATAGAAGTGATGACGTCGCAGGCGTTACCTCTGTTACGCCCTTCGTATCATGTACTCCAATATCTTCAGTAGCATTGGTCGTTTTTTCTAAATTCTGATCCTCCATATTTGTTATATTTAACAAAATCAGTCGATTTCCGTTGCCACAAATACTCATCACCGTTAAAAGCACTATCTTATGCACAGCAGTCTTTCTACTATCACACTACGATCCGTACGATTTGACCGTAAACAGCGACTGAATCGCCATGTTTGATTTATCCGTGATGCTGTACGATAGCAAGGGCGACTTGCTAACGTTTCGTAGCTTGTGAAAAGAGGGCGCACGCTTTCCCCCCACTATCAAACACGTTTCTACTTGTATTCCATCGTTTTCCTCTCCTCTCTTCTCTTCCCCTCCCTACTCTATCCCTCTTCACCCTTCTCTCTCTCTCTCTTTATGTTCATATATTTGTCTTATTCCTTTCTGAATACACTATGGTGTATTTTCTGTCTCTTTCATTCGCTCTCTCTCTCTCTCTCTCTCTCCCTCTCTAACTATCTTCCTTCTCCTACGTTCCTTGAGAAACATGTCTTGCTATGTTTGTACGTTTCTCGTTTATACAATATACGTCTAATTTCATACCCCCTTCGAATTTATATTTGATCTATGTAGGTTAACTTTCAATAGGAATTACATTTTCATATATTTAGATTGTTTTATTTGAATAATTTTCTTTTAAATGAGGAGTGCGAAACTTTCTGATTAATAAATCGTTCAAGGTATATGTATTTATATATATATATATATATGTTATTTGCATAATTTGAAGTCAACCTTGTCTCTTGTCTCTTTGAAATGTTTGCCAAAACTAGCTAACATAAAATATTTTAGATATATATATATATATATATATATGCAAATGTCAACTATTTGTGTATTTTAAGGAACATTTTGCATGTGAATTAAACCAACCCGATCGATATTTGCACGACATTGTTCCAACCAACTCTACAAGGACTCTACCAATGCAATTTTTGTTGTTATTGTTTGTAAAAAAAAAAAAAAAAAAAGAAAAAAAAGGCACACGAAAGATTCACAATATCATCGTACGAAAGTAAAAGTATAAAGTTGAATTCAATTTTATACTCACCATCGAGTGACGAAACATAGGACTATTTCTTTTTTTATTTTTTTTATTTTTTTTTTTTGAATTCCCGCGTGCGCAGAACTTGTAGGAAATTTTGTCGAGAGAATTAAAATTATCATTAATGAAAAAACTATATTTAATATATATATTTCTTATATTTGTATATAATATATTTTTAATGTAAATTTATGAGATTACTTTTAAAAAGCATTATAATTGAAAAAATATCAATGGGATTAACAAAGGAAAACTGTATAAACTGTATCCATTTTGTTATTTGTATGCGCATGTAAATATTATATGTATATATGTACAATTTTAATAATCACATCTATACAGAATAATATTAATTAATTAAATATTATATACGCTGTTTGGAAATTTGAATTTTGATATTTATATTTAAGATGATTGAATCTTACTAAAAAAAAAAAAAAAAAGATGATCCTTGTTTTATCTAATTAATGGAAGGAAATATCGAGAATAATTGCAATGTTCATAGTTTTAAAATAAGATACTACTACTATGTGCCGAGCATAGAATATGTCAAGCATCATAATAACTCATTGATATTTATATTCTACTAAGGAATGTATATCATCACGGATAAAAGCATTCAAAACACATTTATCCATTTCTATTATTTCTTACCAGAATATATATCATCTCATAAAGAAGAACATTTATTTGATTATTTTATTACTTTAAAATCTACGCGCATACGAATAATTATCGAATAAATGGGAATGATTATTAAATCAATTGACAATGAAATTTTCTCTCTTTATAACATTTATTTCACAATTATTATTATTATTATTATTATCCTAGTAAATTCGATTAACATTTAAATGCATGTAAGCATGAATCATTTTACTAAAAAAAAAAAAGAAAAAAAAACATTAGAAATAACTGATTTTTATGTACATAGTTACTACTTCAAGATAATGAAATTTTGTATGGGATCATGCAATAGAAAAATCTTGTTCATAAATATAATGAATAAATTAGTCATCTTATGTGTAATCACGAATAATAATTCGTGAATCATATTTGTGAAAAAAGAAAATGGAAAAGTAATCAAAATGTGTATGGATATGAAACTAACTTTACGGTTCATTCTTTTTATTCATATAACGAAAACATTATCACATGAATATTATATTATATAATTAATTATATCAGATAGTCTATACATATTTATGGAATTTATTTACATCGTTCAAGAACTCGCAATAAAAAAAAAAGAAAAAAGAAATAAACGATCGATAGTTTCGTTAGATATACGTTGCTAAAGTATTCTACTTTTTATCGAGAAACCTTGCTGATCTAATTTTCTTACAATTTGTTATATAAAAAAAAAAAAGAATAAAATTTATTTTCGTTAGCAAACGATCAAAAATGATTTATAATAAAAATAGAAAAAAAAAAAATCTTTTCAGCACGAGTTACAAAAAAATTCATTTCTTGTACAGTCAAATTTTTCGAAATATTTTGTCAATTAATTAACAAATATAAACAATAGTTTTGAGATACGAATTTCAATAATGATAAAACATAACACATAACTTTGATAATTATCAAATTCTTTTTCATCTGAAAGTGTCAATTAAAAATTTCGCTTCCCAAAACTTTTCAGGTTTTTTTTGTCAGGAGACAAATTTTGTGCCATCTACCGACAATTAGCACAAACTTTCTGGAAAACCCAATACAATGTTATATGTAAATAATAATCAATTAATACTTAATTACCAAGCTTGTGGATTCTTTATTATGAATTATTTATAACAATTGGCTAATCAACATTGTTTAATGTATTATCTTTTTTATAATTGTATATATGTATACATCGTATATATATGTGGGATTCGTGAAAAAAATTGGACCGTTGAAACTGACTGGACCGGGATTCGAACACCACGGATCTTTCGCTTTCCGGGCGACTGGCTCTTTTTAACCAATTGAGCCTATCCAGGGCCCACCGGACCAATCCTTTCCACGAATGCCCAATAAGTTTGGCATGGAGGGCGCTCGTCCCATATTCCACCCCCCTTTTAACAACATTCGACCCCGAATGTTATACCACCCAACTTTTATTATTATCTCCTCTTTTTGTGGCGTCCTTCGCCACCAACTTTCAACTTTCGTCTTTCTTCGTCTTTAATTTTTTTCTCACTAAGATTAAAACTGTGGAACGTGTTACGAAGCAGAACCTCCATCCCGGCTGAGCCCCCATGTGAGGGATTCGTGAAAAAAATTGGACCGCTGAAACTGACTGGACCGGGATTCGAACACCACGGATCTTTCGCTTTCCGGGCGACTGCTCCTTTAACACCAATTGAGCTATCCAGGGCCCACCGACCAATCCTTCCCACGAATGCCCAATAAGTTTGGCATGGAGACGCTCGTCCCACATATATATACAGGTTTAATAAACATATACAAAGGTTAATCGTCAGCTCATTAGTTTGAATATGCACATGTTCGAATGAAAAACACGTGCGGGAAAAACTGTTAAGATAAAATATTAAAACGATCCACCGGTATGTATTTTATTTTATAAATAAAGAAGTATATTTTCATGTTTTATAAAAGAATATCAAATAATGTCTAACCTAATGTATATTTTTCTTTTCAATAGATAATTATATTTAGAGAGATAGTGGGAGTACGATTGCAAACTACACTAAAGTTTCAAATGTACGGAACTAATGTTTGAACTAACACACACGCATATATATATATATATATATGTAAAACACGAGAGATTGTATAGTTCAAAGCAAGCCCAAACAGATTAAAATCGATTTATGGAAATGATGAAATAACGTACTACAATAAATTTAGATTTCAAGGATTAACGATTTACATAAAAAGTCAGTCATTTTCTCGAATGAGTGTTTAACTAAAGTTGCAATCAATTATCTAATTAAATTCTTATTCAATTCAATTGAATTCGTTTCATTAAAATGATGCGACCTTAAACAAATAAATGTATGTACATGTACATATATATATATATATATATATATATATAGGAAACCATTAGACATAATTATTGTCGGTATATTTTTTCAAAATAATTAACCAAATAAAGCTTTTGCATTTTCTTGTAGTTAACACAAAAAAAAAAAAAGAAAACAACCTTTTAAAACTTACACATAGATTCCAACATATGTCCCTGATAATATATATATATATATATGTCATGTACTATACTATATGATGTAAAATAAACATATAATTGATAAAAGTTCTGTTTTATGGAGTTAAAAAAAAAAAAAAAGGAAAAGAAAAAAGAGTAAGATAAACGTATGATAAAAAAAGAAAAACTATATAAACGTGAGCGTATAACATTCATGAAAAATGTAAGTATGAATATTACATGTTCTGTTCCTCGTGGGATTGGTGGGGTAAATGGTGTGTGTGTGAGAGAGAGAGAGAGAGGGAGAAGAATGAGAGAGATAGAAGAGGAAGGAAAAAGACACACTCACAGAGAGAGAGCGAGTGAGTGAGAGAGAGAGAGAGAGAGAGGGAAGGAAGGAAAGATAGATAGAAAGAGAGAGAATGAGAGTTGTTGCAGTGTCGTCGAGAAACTCACTAAACGAGTCGGTTACGAAATTTAATCGCTCGGTGAGCGAGGTTATAAATGCACCGTGTATATATTGCGATGGTTGCGTGGCTTAGATGTTAGACGATGATCAAGTTAGAACAAACTTTTAAAACACGATAACACGAATATGCCGAAGATGGGTATAAGAGGGTAGGAAGGAAGGAAGGAAGGAGGGAAGGGTCACGCTAATTTGCTACCAACTGATTGTTTCGCGTGAAAGTTTATACACGTAGTAGTAATAGTAGCAATATAATAGTATAGTAGTAATAATAATAATAATAGTAAAACGTATCTGGTACCAATATCGTTTCATTTCATTTCATTTCATTCGATTGATTTGTATTTTTTGTTGCTGTTGTTTGTTTGTTCTAATTTCTAATTTTTAGTTCAACACACAATTGGAGAACACATATTCCGTACATACGTACAAATATGTATTACATGTTATACTCATACTTACTTATATATACCGTTCGAAGCTTTTCATGATATTTTTTTTCTTTTTTTTTTTTTTTTTTTTGCATGCATCATCCATTGTTCTCGAATAAGAAGTCGGCATTGAAAAAGTTAAAGGGAAGCGCTTGAAAGAAGCACCGTGTTATCGATTGCACGTATATTTGATACTTTTCAACGAGAGTTTGTTCATAAATATCAAAAGGGTTCATTTGGGATTATATTTGTCTTATAATTAATTTCATTTTTTTTTTTTTTTTGAAGTACTTTGACTTACTTGTATCTTATAATATTGTTTATATAAGACATTGTTATATGTACTTGATTAATTTCTTGTAAGATATTATTCTCACTTAAGTATTTCATTTTGAATTAATCATAGTTTCGTTTGTATGGAACAATCGATTATTATCCACTTCCGAATTGTGTTTATATCGATTCCTCCTATCGATAGATATTGATTTATGTTTGAACAACGTTCAGTAAATACTCGTTACATCAAGTAAATGGGTCAAACGTAAATTCATTATTAATTGCATCGTGCTTCATTGAAACGCAACGCCAATTTGACCAATTACAATACGATAATATCAAATAATAATAATAATGATAATAATGCTTGTATTGTTCATCTTTACTTGAATAAGTCGAATTAATCTTGATTTAAGCTAATTAAAATAGTCACATTTTGAATTACGTTGTATGAAGATTAGCGATATCAATTGATCAATTGTAATACAACATCAAATTACATTTAAATATGAAACAACAGAAACAATAACAATAATAATAATAATAATAATAATAAATTTTGTCCTTTTATATTGTTCATCTTTATATTTGTCAAGTTCGGTTAAGATAATTAGAAAATTAATTATTACAAAGTTCTGTATTTGTTGCTGAATTAAACACATTGACATTTTCCATCCGATTAACACAAAATTAACGAATAGAATATTATTTTAAATATTGAATTTGTATTGTAACGAAAGGTTTTACTGATAGCTGTTAGTTATATTGGGTTGTGTTCGGACAATTTTTGCTTTGAAGTTAAACCTAAGCCTTTCGAGTGGGCATAAACAGTTAAATTTGATAAATTTAACCTCTCATTGATCACACGTGTTGTTATTTGTTAGGAAAAAACGAAATTACTTTCCGAACAACCCAATACTCTATAGGATTTGTTACTTTGTTGCTTCCTTTCGATATTATTGGGTTGTTCGGAAAGTAATTGCGTTTTTTTTTTTTTTTTTTGAAAAGGAAAGACAATTTTTCGTATAATGAATAAATATTTTATTCAATTATATATTGGCCATTCTGGTCCAATACCTTTTGCCATATTTCTGGTAGTAGCATAATTCCACGCACATAAAATGTTTGATCTTTGCTGGCAAAAAACTGATCGAGGTTGTTTTTGACCTCGTCATTTGAAGTGAAAGTTTTATTGTCTAAAAAATGTTGCACTGACCGAAACAAATAATAATCCGAGGGTGCCAGATCTGAAGAATATGGCGTGTGTGGCATTGTATCCCATTCAAACTGTAAAAGTTTTTGGCGAATGATCAAACTTGTATGAGGTCTCGCTTGGTGAAACACTACATGTTTTCTGTTGATAATTTTTGGTCTTTTCTGTTGAAGTGCATCATTCAGTTTGTCCAACTGATGACAGTAGTCTTCTGAATTAATTGTTGTGTTATTCGGTAAAAGCTCAAAAAAAACGATTCCTTTAAAATCCCACCAAACAGACAGCATCACCTTTTTTAAATGGATATTAGCTTTCGAAATGCTTTGAATCGGTTCATTTTTTTTGTTCCATGATCTCTTGCGTTTGACATTGTTATATACAACCCATTTTACGTCTCCAGTAATAATGCGTTTCAAAAATGGATCATTTTTGTGACGTGTTGGGCATTAACCAAAAACTACTGTATAGAATTAATTGAACTTTTTCACAAACAAATCTTGCTGTATCAGCTCTCAAAACATACAATGATTATACAGCTTAAGTGTAAAATTGGGTGCAAAAAAAAAAAAATACAAATAAATCCTCTATCGGGAAAAAACGAAATTACTTTCCGAACAATCCAATAGATATGAACTAGAAAACTAGATCGTAGAGGACAGCACTGTACATACAAGAAAATCAAAAGAATGTTTGTAGCTAGAACCTACTACTCATCCTTATTCTTGGAATTAAAAAGAAAAAAGGATTGCTTTGAATTTGAGTTTACATTTAAAATATAAATATATATGTATATTTTAGAGTTTGTTATATTCGAAATATTTTTTTTTATTTTTATTATAATTTAATTAAGATTTGATTGAAAATGTATTACTTGTTTGGTTAGTTATTAATTATTAAACATTTTGATTTGATAAACAATTATTTATAATTAATTTTAGAACGATTATTTGTGACAGTATGTATATATACGAACAATTAAATTATTAATAGAAAGATCTCGTTTAATTTTTCTCATAAATTTTCATGTTTAACGAGAAATTATTTTATTACACTTTTTCGTAAGGTTATTTACAGAAAACACATGGACGGATTTATAGAGTTAAATATCACAGAGTAAATATTCACGATAAGCGATAACACGATATAGTTTATAAAAAAATATTTGAAAAAATTATCTTGTCAAAGGATAATTCATCGTATTTCTCTTTAAAATCTACAATTTACTAGATAACAAAAAAAAAAAAATATCATTGCAAACTAATGATAATTATCATTATGAATATGATAACACGAATAAATGAATATAATAATATAAATAAATAATGATGAAATAAAATGACGAATTAATATATTAATATTTAAAAAATAAAACGTGTCAGAAATATTACAAATAATTTTAATATATATTTGTTTGATTCTAATTTAATCTACGAATTTTGAAGAACAATTTAACATCTATAAAATTCTCGTAATACTAGACAAATAATTAATTTATACAATTTTTACAGAATGTGTGTTTGTATGTGAAATATTCAAATATATTTTGTCTATAGTACAGTTGCTTAATCATCCATCTGGCATAAATAAATAAGCCAATGATTCAACTCTTGAAAAAAAAATATAATTAATTTATATACATAAATACATACATACGAAATTTACTTATTTACATAAATACGAAACGCGTATTCAGATTATTAACATACATGCATTATATATAT